ACAAGGTCAGGTTTTTTATCACAAAACATGATTTCTTCTGGTTAATGGTAAGATTAAGTAATAATTTTGTCTTCTACCGGTTCTTTATCGAAAACCTTGGCTATTGAAAACCTGAGTTTACCATAAACCTGCGATATATCAATTAAACTGCTCAAGAGTTTTATTGCAATGACTAATGAATGATTCTAATCGAGCCTTTATTCATATCTCAATTAATCGCTATCAGCATGGTGCGATTGTTGACTTAAACAGACTTTCGTTTACATAATGATTTGTTATATTTACGCGAACACTACACATTGAATAAAACTATTTTTAACCGAATCCAAAAAAGGAGGAAGGTACTCAATTCTTTTTTTTTATAGAATAAGGATGACAAACAAGCAAATAGTCCACCTGATGGTAAGTGGTTGCTGTGGCCCATAGACATCTACATCTCTCTTCGTTTGCGAATTAAAATGCAGATGCGTTGTCAGCCGTGAGGACTAAGATTGAATGCCTCTTTTCCAGTAAAAAGGTTCTCCGGTTCTCTACACTCACCATACGAAACACAGCAGCATTAAGCTGCTATTTTACGCTGGTATCCTGTGAGAGCGTGGTCCTTCCCCGGTCGAGTCGACCCATTCGTGCTACAACTATACTATTAATATAGCTGCAGCATGGCTCTACCACGTATAAAAGGTGAAACGATTTTGATGATTCCTTTTTTATCTGAAAGCAGGTGCTTCTCATGTGGTCCCATATAATCAAGATCTGTCCAGTAGTTTTTAAGTTATCCTTGATAATGCGTATTTAACTGACTTCGACTACATTGATGATGTTCTCATTTTATTTATATTGTACTTGGTTGTACAAAATTTTTAATTTTACCATTTGTTTTACGGATTTTATCGAGTTTAATTTTACTTATTTTCAATTTCTGACGTTTCGGGTGCTTTGCAAAATTAAACGCGATAAAATGGGTAATAGTAGTCATATTCATAACTTTCGTTTGCTCGTTATTTTAGTACAGGCAATTATTGCATGTCATTTTTTAATTTTTATAATTTAATTTTAATTTCCGACTGTTCCGAGTGTTTTACAGCAATGGTCCCAGGTGAAGGGCCCTGAAACGTCGGGGAAAAAAACAATAAGTTAAAATTTTACTACCTAAGAAAATTATTTTACTTATTAAATTACTAGGTGGCAATGAGCCACGGTATCCACGACTTTTTCTACCACCAGGGTGGCGCCACTAGAAAGTGAGGTACGTACTACATAGTAGGGAAGAAAATGGAAAAGTTTTTGTTTCTTTTTGGCCTATTAGCTATATTTTATGTTATTAACATTAAAAATAAATAAACCAAACCACAGATATTCATAAAAGTAGAAAAATTAAAAAAAAAGTTAGAAATGTGCAAAAAATTAAAGAGCAAACCACTGACGCATTGTCACGTGTATTAATATAATACTCTAAAAACTGATACACTTTTATTAAAAAAAACAACTTCTCAATTAAATGACGTTGTGTGACAAAAAACTTTACCCCAGTGTCAACTAGCGACATCTGGTGAGCAGAAAATTATTAGCTGATTGCGGCGAGCTGTGTAATATTTTTTTTAAATACGCTGTTAACATCACTAATATAACCGTCGACCTCTCCAAATGAGATTAAAAGCTAGTGACAGGAGCTGTTTACTACGAATCGAATGGCGGATTAAACCGACGACTTTCTCAGTTTGCAGTCCGCATTATATACATATAACTAGGGATCCGCCCCGGCTTCGCTCGGGTGATTTCTGTATCGACAACAGCCCCACCTACCGAGTCCCATTGAAATGTGTTTAAACCATCCATGAAACCACTCGCACAAACACAAAAAATTTCATCGGTATCGGTCCAGCCATTTTCGAGTTTTTGCGAGACTGATAGCAATAATTTTTTATATACAGAGATTAAATGAACATGCTCCGTAATCACGACTCGTATCGTTTTCAAAAACTTGCGATACTCTAAAACTCGTCTATAACGATCCGGCCCATAGGAATAGTGTATCATATTACAAAAAAAAAACTGAAGCGCGTCCCGCATCCTGGAGCTCTGTTCCTTAAATAACACTGTATCGTCGGTGGCTAAAGCGTTTCCCGTTTTGCTTCTATGGCTGCTGTCAACAACTTATACAAAAAAAAACGAGTGATTTTTTTTTATAAAATATTTATTAAAACAATTAATATACGTACTTAGAACTTCCTTTCATATTCTTACATAGTGATCTGATTTTCAAAATTTCAAGTCTCTAGCTTTAGCTTGTAGGGAAATTAGTTTTAAATCAATCATTACTAAATTACTTACACCAAATCAGACATACACGAAAGTTAGTTAAAAAAAAACTTATTAAAAAACCTGGTAAAATACTTTTACTCTTTCTCTAAATATACGAGTGTATAACGAAATATTTTGTTCAATTAAGTAAAACCGGAGTTCAAAAAAGCCGGCCAAGTGCGAGTCGCACTCGCGCATGAAGTGTTCCGTACCATCGTAAAACACGTTTCTAGTAGGGGAGCCCCCTTTAATTTTCAATTTATTTTTATAATCACGGGGTAGCACGAATGGGTCGGCTCAACCGTGGAAGGACCACGCTCTCACATAATACCAGCGTAAAATAGCAGCTTATTGCTGCCGTGTTTCGTATGGTGAGTGTAGGGAACCGGAGACTTATTTTACTGGAAAAGAGGCATTCTCTCTTAGTCCTCACGGCTGACAACGTATCTGCATTTTAATTCGCTAATGAAAATAGATGTAGATGTCTGTGGGCCACTGCAACCACTTACCATGAGGTGGACTGTGTGCTCGTTTGTCACACTTATTCTATAAAAACCAATAGTAACTTATTTAAACCTACGCAATATTCTTGTTCTAAAAAAAAAATTTCATCGCCCCGTACCGTCCCGTGAGTGTTATAAGAGAGGACTATGGAAAATAAAAACGTAAAATTTTATACGATAAAAGAGATAAGGCTCCTTTCCTCAAGCAAGAAGTCAGCGTAGGTAGATCTATTTCTGTACATATGCGAAGTGCGTTCCAATTAAAGTGATTCGGTTTGAAAAGTAGCCTATTTGCTGCCGTATATTGGAGGCGCAAGATAATCCACTTCTCCCTATCTCCCGTAGGAATCGTAAGAGGCGACAGAAGGAAATTAAAAAGGAGAAGGGCAGAAGTATCTTCCTAATAAAAACGCATAACGCCCTCCTACCTTAGCAACGCCTCTATGAGGCAATTTATGGGGGAAAGTTATGGACTTTTAATAGGCTGTAATGATAATGATGACCATAATAATCACGGGCTTTTTGCTCTTCTTCCTCAGGAGTGACAAGGCATTCTTCCTTCTTTTTAACATTGTCGATTTCTCTTGGTTACAATAGCCACTTATCATCGGATGGACTGTTAGCTCGTTAGTCAAAATATGTGCTATAAATTCTAGTCGAAGTAGGTAGGTAGGTGTCTACATAACACAATTTTTTCTTTTTTTTTGTCTTTAAAAAAAACGTTACCACCACACTAGGATTTTCTCGTGTATCGTGGAGGCAGTTCACAAACATAAATTGCACAAGGACAAACATCCAGACCCCGAACAATTATTTGTAGGCCATACAAATACTTGTTCCGTGCGGGATTCGAACTCGCGGCCCCCAGCGCAAAACCTCATTGTTAAGCCACTGCGCCACGGAGCCGTCATTTTTATGTGTCGATACTTTTAATATTTTAAATTAAAAAAGAAATGGTACATAGGTACAACTTTTTATGTATCTCCTACAGTCTAGCGTCTAGATTTCCCCATTCTGTACCATTTAAAATTGCATATATCCGAAAAGAAATAAGCGTTTATTTATGTATAAGTCCACTGCTGTACATAGACCATAAAATACAAAATTACATAGTTTTTATATATTCTCAAGATTTTATATTTATTTTTTGTTCGAAACTTAATAATGCTAAAGGCCGTAAAATAAAAGACTATGTACACATGTTTCAAATAAAATTTTAAACCGCCAACCGTCCGTCGTAGTCTGGGCTGCTTAACACACAAACCTTGTTCCGCAGGTGGTTTAAATCAACAAGTACGGGGTACATATGTTGGTCAAAAAAACTCAAGCTTCGTAAAAACTTCAGCTTTGACAACATAACACCTTATTACAAAGAGTGAACGCAAATAAATAAAAAATACATATCGTTCAATCTATGGTTTTGTTCAACTAAAAGAAATTGTGTTAAGAACGTCACGTTGACTTAAAAAAAATGCTATGATTTGTGCAAATATATGTATTTCGACGTTCCATTCGCTGTTGGTGATAAAATAGAAACGCACACAAATGATAAAGTCTAATAAACAAGTGTAAAAGTGTGAAGAATAGGTAGCGGTACTCTTCATCGAATATAAGACTAAAATTTACATACAAACAAGAACAGTACAAGACTGAATGGCCGATGCATCTTTGCCAAAAAAAAAGTAAGAATTAACCGAGCACAAACAAATACGCCTGTCAATATCAGTTAGAAAACCTGACATATTTTTTCAGTTGGTCCGTTGTAGGAGAACCGGCCTGACGGGAAGAGCGAGTCAACAGGTAGGGTATAGGGCAGTGACCCATAGTTGCCAGTGCATGGTATGAAATATGAATGGCACTGTCAGAATTTTCAGCTGATAAAATTAGCCTTTTTGTTAATGAAATATCAATATTGATTTCATTGAGGCCCCGTCAAAGTCGATTAGAGAAAGTCGATATCGATAATAATCGTAGCGATATGTATGAGAATTCACCGGTCACAGATTAAGTTCGAACAACTTTAAAACTTTGCTAAGAGAAAACAGTTTTGAAAGAAGCAATCTAACATAAATCTAGTAATTATAAGTTTGTATTTTGCTTGGAACTTATAGCATTGCGTTTAAAATTAAAGTTAATAGAAGATAACCGGTAGCTTGGTAAATTATAACTAGGTAAAGTTGAATGCATGCCACTCACCTTCTCTCGCAACAGTACGCGAAACGGCTCGTTTCGAGCTAGTTGCAAGCGGCCTGATGTGTCCTTATGAACTTAACAAAGGTCTACTTTCACCGATGGACGCAGTCGCAGCCCAAAGAATAAACCATATACGGCCCTCTCATGCGTTGAGCGCTGCTTATTGTGCGCTTTATCCGAAAGAAACAGTAACGTTCAATTAAAACGGTAAATAGCAATTGCAAAAAATAAACGCACTACACTAACACTGATCGATAAACCACTTTGCACCGCACCAGCATTATTTGTTTGACGAACAAAAGTTTTTATCGTCAAGGGCCGCCACAGGGAAAAGTTTCCCTAACTTTTCGGACGTTGAAACGTTAACGGGAACAACAGAACGTCCGTCAAATGGCGACGCCGCCGCGCGAATGGAACCGGGTTGGCCTCGATGAGAACAAAACGACACAACTCCGAGAAACTGAGCGTGCGCGCGCGATAGAGCATCTGCGGCACTCGCGAGAGAGAAAAAGAAAGCGATGGAGGCCCGTTCAGCGTTCACCAATGGTACAATGTCGTCTCCCTAAGCCGCTTCTTCGCGTGCAAAATTAAAAAAAAAAACACCTGTGTAGATTTTATTTAAATAATTTGTGGTGTTAAGATAAAATTTAACCGCTTTGAATACCACTACCTTAACTGAAATTAGATCCTGACTTATATCATGTTCTTATAGACTAGAATTCCATAATATGATGTTTTAAAAATAAACAAAATAATGCATAATTATATCGATGCGATCTATTACCAGCAAAAGCATTATTCTCTACAGCAGTTAGGGATATGATGTTGAAATTGACACTGATAAGATAATGAGCTGTTTAAGACCTGAGGTCTTACAGAATTTAGACCATAGGTCAAAGAAATTCAAGTTCTAATTCAGATAACCCTATTTTAATTACAGTCACAAAACATGTAAAGAAGTTCTTACAACTTTCAATACAAATATATTATCTAGAAATGTCATGTAATTACATAATAAATGTTTTTATATTAGTGGTATTATATACCGTTACAAACTTGTTTTCGGCGAAGAGAATAGCAACCCAATAGTTCTGTAAATAAATTAAGTTTCTAATTCAATCTAATAAAATATGTAGTCATTCCAACTCTTCAAATCCTAGAGATCAGTCAATGTGATAATAAAGATCCGGACTCACATTTGAGCTATCTGCTGATTACAAAATAAATAAAAAAAAGTACACGATAACCTAATTAGTTATAACAGTTTTGACTGAATACACAAGAACCCATGTTTGTCACCAGTAAGATCTATTTGCGAATAAGTTATAAAACTACAAGTAAGTATGAATAAAATTAATTCTAATGATTTCTTAGCGTTTAATTTTAATTGTTTGATTCCCGGCGTGTCGGAGGAGTGTATAAGCGTGTGTATTGTGAATTTGGTCTGTCTTAAACAGGACAAACAGAAAGATTGTAAAAATCCACGTAAAAGAGCTGCCTGCTGTCACTGGACATGTTCAAGATCGTCCCCGCCAATACATCCGACTATCAAGTCGGATGTATTGGCGAGGACGATCTCCTCAATCAAACCACATATTCTCTCAAAAGAACACCCGGAATTGGTGTTCTTTTGAGAGGATATGTGGATATGTGGGTTTCCGATTCTCTACACTCACCGTACGAAACACAGCAGCATTAAGCTGTTGTTTTACCCCGGTATTCTGTGAGAGCGTGGTCCTTCCCCGGTCGAGCCGACCCATTCGTGCTACAACTATACTACTAATATAGCTGCAGCATGGCTCTACCACGTATAAACTGTGTGCTCGTTTGTCACCCTTATTCTATAAAAAAAAGTTACATCCTATATATACGTCTCACTGCTGGGCACAGGCCTCTTCTCATTTCTGAGAGGGTTTTAGGGCAAGGAAGTGTCCGCCGCGCTGCCCCAATGAGTGTTGGCGAATTTCACATGTCTTCGATATACTTTTTTTTCTTATTTCTCAGACATACAGGTTTCCTCGCGATGTTTTCCTTCACCGCCGAGCACGTGGTAAATCAGCACTTAAAATTGCATTTAACAATTTCATTGGTGCCGTCGGGGATCGAACCCGGGTGGCTCGCGTACTGTGAAATTTACCGCGGGCGCCAACCATCCGAGCTACCACGGCTATAAAAAAATATTATAAAATTTGTTTTTACCGAATGTCATTGCATTTATTTTCGGGGCATTGATAACAGTAAATGATATAAAAATAATAATAGAATTTTTTTTAAATTATGCATTTTTATGAATATTTGCTGAATTATACAATAAATAGTACCGGCCCTAGTGGAGCACCCTGCTGAACGCCAACATCAATATATGAAGCTTACGAAATATATTATTGATCTAACTATTATGCTAATGAATTCAGTAAAGCAGTAGTGGATATAGACTTAATTGAGAGCTGGGCCCATGGTGGCATAATTGGGATTGATGAAATCTGTTTGTTTACTAATTCAATAAATTAGTTTACTTTGTTATGATTTAAGGATAAATAAAATTATTTTAATTAATAATTTTGTAATTTCTTATTTCTCGTAAGCGATTTGTAAACTTTTGAGAAATAATAAAGAACTTAAGCTTTAAGCCAAACCAAAAAGCTTTGGGATTGCTAATATCGGGTTAAGTCTACGCCCTACCCCAACGGATTCTCGCATTGTCGTGGAGGCTAAGTAGCCGTGGCTTGGTCACCCGCGGTGAATAAAAAGTAACTCACTTGGCTGGCCCATGGTGTAAGGTCGGCCCGAGGCCAATCCGAGTGGCCTTGCTGAGCCGTAACGGACTGCTGTGAGGCGGCTGTAACTGGCGGTTCCTAACTGGTTGTTCTACCTTCGCCGCATTTCTTTTCCGCCTTCATTTCATTTTTAGGCATTTCCCCATGTAAAGAAAAAAAACTGATTTAACGTAAGTACAAATTTCCGAGCCATCTCTTTCAAGATGTCATCTTGACATCTTGACCGTGCAGTGGTATTGTAAAATATCCACAACCACATATAGTCCCGTGGCTGTCCTAAGAGGCGACTGAGGGAAACGAACCATGTTATGGGCAACAGCGTCTTACTAATAACAACGAAAAATAAAAATAAACTGCAACTATGTCAAATATCCCTCCCTACAAGACATTCTGTGAGGGAGACCTATGGTCAGCAGTTGACTTTTGATAGGCCTTAACGGCAAAGGTAAGCGACATCTTGTCAATTTATTAAAAATCATTCCCATGTACAAGATACAGCGAAGCGAGAAACAAAGGAGCTCTCTAAAACCTTAGTTGAATACTAATTTGAATGGGCTGAAATTTGTTACAAGATCAGAGATGTTGTCCCTTAGAGTTTTATAGTAGACTAGCTGATCCGGCAAACGTGGTTTTGCCATATACATTATTTCTAGGAAATATTTTTTAATTTTTATAAATCGCGATTAAAAAAACTGGGGTTTATCGTAGATGGGTGAAAATTTGAAGTTTTATGTATTTTTCAATGCTAAATCATAATAAAATTAAAATAAAAATTTTTGTCAAAAAATTAAAAAAAAATATTTAGGGGTTTGAAAAATAGATGTTGGCCGATTCTCAGACCTACCCGATATGCATACATAATTTCATACAAATCGGTTCAGCCGTTTCGGAGGAGTTTGGTAACAAACACCGGGACACGAGAATTTTATATATATTAGAAAAAATTGCCGTTGAAATGTAGAGCCATATTATACGTATATGTAAGTAGAGTTATATTTTATTAGAGTAGGCAGTAACAGTAATATACTATTTGTGTCCAGTGTGCAAAATCCTCGTCGCTCGTTGCTTAATATAGTGAACAAGTTACCGGTTAGGATGGCATATAGACATTAGAATAGAATAGAATAGAATAATTTTTTATTCAATATTGATTATCACATAATACTTATTGAAAGTCATTTTTTATTTACCACTGGTTCGGAAAATACCTCAGTCCTGGGAAGAACCAGCAAGAAACCCAGCGGGACTTTTTTTTTAAACATAATTTCACTTAACAATAATTTTGTTTATACAATTTTTAAATGTTTTTTCATAGAACCAGCATGGTGGCGATCACCCTATTCCCAGGGGTTATTTTCATTCATGTATTCCTTGATATTATAATAACCCTTTTTGTACAGTTTTTCTTTAATAAAACTTTTAAACTTGTTTATTGACAAACTTTGAATATATTCTGGGATTTTGTTGTAAAAGCGTATACATTGCCCCATAAATGAATTACTGATTCTGTGGAGTCTAGTAACTGGCATTACAAGCTTATGTTTGTTCCTAGTATTTAAAGTATGCACATCCATATTCTTATTAAAGTTATTTATGTTTTTATGCACATACATTACATTCTCATAAATATATTGCGATGCCAATGTTAATACTCGTATGTTTATTTCTTTAAATTTTTCTCTGAGGGACTCTTTACAATTTAGGTTATAAATCGCCCGTACGGCTCTCTTTTGCAAAACAAATATAGCTTCAATATCAGGCGCATTACGCCATAGCAAAATTCCATAAGACATTACGCTATGAAAGTAACTAAAATACACTAATCTAGCTGTCTCAACATCTGTGAGACTTCTAATCTTTCTTACAACATATGCTGCAGAACTAAGTCTGCTTGCTAATTTAGATATATGGGGGCCCCATTGAAGTTTCGCGTCAATAGTAATACCAAGAAAAACAGTGGTATCCACAAGACTCAACTCCTCCCCATTTAACAGCACATTGATAACATTAGACAAGACACCTTCTTCTTGCCGTGCGGTGGCTGTGTAATCCAATTATTATTAATTATGTATAATAGAATCAGGCATTACTTTGCCGACACCTAATATAGTAAACATGTTAAAAATTAATAGCTAGTAATAAATTAAAATTGTGTCTTACCAAGTTCGATCGTGTTTTGCGTCTAAACGAGGTATCATCAGGTAAATAATTATAATAATAATTCTTTTATTTCAGATCCATATAAGTTGATAAGTAATACATTGTGCTCCTTAAACACCAGTGTTATTTCCTTAAATATATATAATCACTTTTTAATAAACCGTTCCAGTGAGTCAGCGTACGTCCGTCACAACGTTCGGCGAACATGTCCAAGATACCTGTTCCTTCCGCCACGCATTCAGCTCAACACTCTTTTACGCATTACTGCGAAGAAGTCATTTCTGTTCGTGCTTCAGCAAACATCCCTGTTGCGCTACAAAAGCGAGGCAGCCCCATCTGGGCCCTGAAAATTTTATTATTGTTGCGCGCCACTATTAATGTCTTGTACATGGCAACACAAGCGCCCTCTAGTAGCAGAACTAGGAGATTCAAGATCCTTCTGGGTATTCGCGATATAAGCGAATACTTCGAAGCGATACAACTGCGAACTAAAGTGATCAGTAGTACAATTGTGTTTTATTATT